GTGGATGGTGGAGGAGAGCTGTCGGAGAATGTAGTGTGGATGATGGAGGAGAGCTGTCAGAGAATGTAGTGTGGATGGTGGAGGAGAGCTGTCGGAGAATGTATTGTGGATGGTGGAGGAGAATGGATAGTGGGGGAGGAGCTGTGATAATAAATAAATGACTGTTTTATATTGATGATGATGATAGCAATGTTATAATATAGAAATATTTGTACTTCTGTATATACAATGTTGTTGTTCTATTTAAATGTCTGTTTGTCACATTCATCAATAATAAAACATTAGGAGCTGATTTTTGTTCTATGTTTCTTTCTTATCCTCTGGAAATGTCTTCTGTGTCGGTAACAATGGATGGAGATAGAAGAGATAGATAGATGGATCCAAATATTGACACGGAGACATATTGTTGTCACGGCGATGGCAGGAAGATGAGAGTCGAATAGCCAACATAAGGAAGGGAAGAGGGTGTCCCATGGCTCAGCCCTAAAGCTACATTAGTTCCGGTGTGGCCATGACACACGTAATATGAGAAGTAGTAATACAAAACGTCACAATGTTGGACCGGCTCGTAGTCGCCTGTAATAAAGAAATAGTCAATATACCAATGTAGAACTAAATGTTCCATCAATGTAAAGACCGGCTCTGAAGTACACGCATAGTACGATGACATGCCTGAACTCTTGCTACATACAGGCCCAGTGCTGCCACTAGGCAGCCGCCTAGGGCGCACTGCTACGTAGGGCTCACTGCCTAGTACACGCATAGTACGATGACATGCATGAACTCTGCTGCTACATACAGGCCCAGCGCTGCCACTAGGCAAACTAGGCAGCCGCCTAGGGCGCACTGCTACGTAGGGCTCACTGCCTAGTACACGCATAGTACGATGACATGCCTGAACTCTGCTGCTACATACAGGCCCAGCGCTGCCACTCGGCAGCCGCCTAGGGCGCACTGCTAAGTAGGGTGCAGCCTTGACCATTCACCCCGCCTCCCCCATGGTGCCCCCCGTCTATTTCAAGTTACAAAAGCCAATGGCAGGCTATTGAACCCGCCCACTGAGCAGAGGAGCCTAACTGAGAGACAACTTCCTCTCTCAGGTTTGATCCTTGCTCAGTGGGCGGGGTTTCAATAGCCTGCTATTGGCTATTTCAAATAAAATTACATCCCCCTGTCGCCTGCACAAGCTAACCCGCAGAAGAA